ACGTTGTAGTGGGAACGAACGAAGACACGCGAGACATTTCAATTGGAATTTTGCAACGTGCTCAATGAATGAATTTACGGCTATTTTTCATGACAAATTTTTACCACGTAAAATCTTATTTAGCAAATCGAACGTAGTACGTACGTACGAGTGGGAATTAGATTTCAAAAAGGTTCTCTGCATTCCTTCAGCTTCAATGGATATTATTCTTTCTATACATTTCACTTTGCCTGATACATTATACAATACTACATGTGTATCTCTTAAATTCAAATGGAATTTACTACGTCACTTGAAAACTACTTGTAAACTTGTTGGTAAACAGCTGCTGTTATAAAATGTAACTTTAAATATTGAAGAGCTCAGAGAAAAAGTGACAGCTTAACGTCTGACAGTTTTCAGGAGCTGTTCCAGTGACTTTCTGACATGTTTTGTCTCTTCCGGGATTCCTGTTCATTCTGATTTCATCTCCCCCAACTAGAAACACCCTAAAGTAAACTGATAATGAGGAAAACCCTTCTAGGAATCTAAATTAATTAGCTGTGTTTGGATTGGCGAAATTATTCAGGGAAAAGCAGTAAATGCTGAAATAACTTCGTGAAATTCTTGGGAAATTCGTTTCTTTTTTTTAGTAGATTGGTACCACTGATTTAATAGGCAATCGCATTCATTAGTTCTTTTTTGAATTCTTATGAAACAACAAGCTGTAGCAATCCCGTGTAACGGATATATAGCTTTTTGAAAAAGTTGTTTATTATTCTTAAATTATGCTATTAAAGATTATTTTTTGTGTTATACAATTATCTTGAACTACGACATTAGTGATAAACAAAAATTGATGTTCGACTTATTTTGTAATTGAAATTTTTTAAAAATTTAAAAAACTTAATCCTTTTAGAGCTCGTTTATGCCAGATCCTCATCAACTGAAAGACCGAACGCAATTTGCGGAAATGAAGAAACAACGCGCAAGCTCGACGAGCGTGTAATTGCGCGTCCCGTTTCGTAATTGCATATACATTCGAGAGTCCCACGCTGCTAGAAAAAGAAGTAGAAAAAATATATATAAAAGAAGGAAAATATAAATGTAAAAAAAAAGGGAAGAAGGTACAAAAATGTAACAAGAAATGAAAAATAAAACATTCACGTGACAAAAGTTCTTTCTGCTGCGTGCCTGTTCTTTGTTTTTTTTTGTTTACTTCTACACTATATACCATCTTTACACCTCAAACTCATCTCTCCACTTTAGAATTCAACGCGTCAGGACGATTTCTCGACAAAATTTCTCTTTTGACAAAGGATTCGAAAAATATGAAAATAATTTTATATAAATAACGTGGAATTATATAAACAAAATATTCTGGGACTTAAAATCTCCACAAATGCTTTCGCTGTTGTTGATTTTATGAAAAAATATCGCTGAGTATATATGAACATGAATATCAGAAGCATAGACGTCTTTAGCCAATATCTAGTACAGTAGAGAATGACCGCGTGTGTCAGACACATCGTCGCATAAATATGACTTATGATCGCAATTACTTTACCTGCATACGCGTATACATATAGGCGAATATACCGTGAAAATATAGATATATTAGCAGTCTATAAAAGGTTCTGACAAAATAGAGAAATCAAGAAAACGTGTACGTCAAAAAAATTATTCCTAGAAAAAAAGTTAGTATTCGAACAATTATAAAATTTAGTAGCAACGGCAATTGGTATCATTGTCAATCAAATTTTTTCGTGTCCTAGTACTAATTATTGCTCTAGTGATAAGTAGAAATTTTTCATTCCATAAAATACTGTTCCCTGAAGAAAAATGTAGTTAGAGGATCAGTAAGGATTTTAAGAAATTTTTTTTTGTTTGTAAAAGGAACAAAAAATTCTCACAATTCCAATGCCATATCACCAGGGGACGGATTCTTCATTCTTGGAGAGGGTGTGGAAAATGTTCGAGGACAAACAGGGGTGAGATTGATGAACTTTTAACAGGAAACTTCTCTTCTTTTTCCTGAAGAGAGCTATAGGGAACGGGATCGTACCTTCTTCTTACCTTCCACCTTCCGAAGACTCTCTAACCTTCTGTCCTTCACTATTCTACCATCCTTTGGACGGCACTTCCCTTGGCCACTTAAAAAGTCTGATCCGAGACGTCGACTCTCTCTCCATCCAGTAGAAAACTGCAGACGCGCCAGACCCTATTCCTCTACTACCTAATACTACTACGACTACTACTGCGACTACAACTACTACTACTACTACTACAACTACCACTACTAATACTACACTGCTGCTACTACTATTGCCTTTACCACTACTACTGGGATACCTACTGAAGATATTTTTACTACCGCTATAAGTACTAGGCAGCAGATGCTCGCTCTGTTCCTACTCTTCAACTTCCGGACTGGGGATTTTCCATGACGATTAAAGGATTTCCAAAAGCTGCGGAACTTTAACGCAGGTGAAAGTCATGTGAAAAACGTCACGTGATGTCAACGACGATTTATAAATTTCTAATAATATTGAACAGTGATATTCTTCTCGTATTCATTAATTTAAGTTGGTTATAAAATTACTATATGCCATTAAAACTTTGATACGCTTGAAATATTTGTGTAACTAGATTAAGGAAATAAAACCATTATGTTGCTACTACCGTAGAGCAAACTTTCGATAACATATGGAGAGAATTTTTTATTAAAATTTACCGTGAAAATCACGGTAATCACGAGACATCGCGGTATTTCGTAGCATATTACCTATATTATGTTTAAGTGCAACTCACGAAAATATATTAAAAAGTAAGCATGACACGTCAGTTTTTACTGAAGTGTATGGTACAAATTTCGAAATTTGTAAATATCTAGTGTAAAACTATAGCCTAACCGTGTTGAATTGAAAAGTCATCAAATACAGCTGAATTACCTCGTACATTATATTAAATTTTACTGTGGAGCGCATGCATTACTTTTCATACCTTTGAAATCAACCACGAAAAGCACAGTGACCTTTTATATGTATATTTTTCAAATGTATGGTTGTTGAATTTAGTACGTATAAGCAATGGTAGTCAATATGTTGTTAAGAAATGGTACTAATTTATTAAATTGTTGTTTAATTTATATTTATTTGTTTTAGCTTTTCTCTCACATATGTGCAGAAAATTAGAAATAAGTATTTGAAAAATATAATTCAGGTTAATAAATGAGCCGTTCAGTGCACACATCGATTAACTCCATAAAACAAAAAGTTGAGAAATGCGATGAAGTAATGTATATTGTAAATTACTTATTATTCAATGGCCAAAAAAATTGTGCCGTTTAATGGTGCTAATCTTTATTATTCAGGAAAGTTATTATAAATATAAAAAGTTATGACTATACCAAGTGCTTTGACACTTAAATTTAAGATTTTTCAAAAAGTGGAGTTAATCGATGTGTGTACTGAGTGGCTCGAATGTAGGTTCATTGAACAGTCTGAATTGGTTAAACGGTAGAGATCGAATGGATGAGCTAACTTCAGCTGATGCAATGCTCCTAAATAACACTATACGTTTTGCAGTAGGGTGAAAATCAATAAATTTTTGGTTATATCAATCAGATTTTTTGTGTGACATAACAGGAAATTTTGCAACACGTCAGGTAAATTTTACCGTGAAACGCAGTAAAAATTGTAACAATATTTACCGTGTGCACGGAAAATTGACTTGCAGCCACTGAAAATATCACGTGCTATAAGCGGTAAGTAATAAAATAGTAACGATGTCCCACGATTGCTTGTTTTTACGGTAAATTTCATCGTGAATTTCATAGGAAAAACTAACAAAAAGTTCTCTCCGTGTAGTATCATTTCATGTATAGAACCTTTCATACTCAATCAGACTATATCTCAAGACACGTGACAGGTTTAACATCAAAGAAAATCGATAAAGGTGGCGGAAAACTTTACGAAAGCTTTCAATTAAACGTCCTGGCTCTTATCTTATCTTTCTTTTTTCTATTTGTGTTCACGGATTTTCTTGAGATTTTGCGCTTCAACGTTTCCCAATCTTCGAGGGAGGTTTGGGAAGGCACGGTCGGTTATAGGTAGGGAAAGAGCCATGCCCTTCGTAAACTATCTTAAATAGAGAAATTAGTTGGATAAAGTCTTATGCCGTAGCGGACGAAGAATTGGTGTCTCGCGAACTCGTTTCAAGCACAATAAAGCCGATTAAAAGTTTTGAAAGCCAAAATCTTCACGGAAATTACATAATCGTTCATTTCCTTCGCACAGGTCAGCCAACCAGTGTTAATGCAGTTTCGTCATCTTTATTTTGTTTCTCCAATCACATGTGCAAATTTGATATTTTTCTTGTTCTTTTTTTCATTTTTTTAACGATTCTGCTTAACCTTATTACCACCGTGATTTCGACAGCAAGTCCTTCCTCTAATAGCGACTGGATACTGCGCATGCCACTAGGGTAATCTGATGTTTGAGTCCCGACTCTAGACAGCTCAGGGAACGAACCCGGCACCCCAGATAGACTCTCTACGGGTACCGAACGACCTTGACCTCCCGCCCGCAGCCACCCTTTTCACGATGCTTTATCCTGGAGGCAGAGGACCCAAAACCCCACTGTATATTTCTATAGTACTCAACAAGTACTCACCCCGGTAACTCCATCCTCGTCGAATACTCGGTAGTCTCTTGCGGTCAGGGGAACCAGTCCAAATCCTCTCTATCGCTCACATAATAGGTCTATCCTCAAGCTCCTTTCTCCCTTAATCTTCACGCCGTGATGCACGACAACTGACTGACCACTTATTCCCTTTCTCCCAATCCCCCATCGTGAATGACCTTCGTAAGCTCTTCGTTTGGCTCTTATAAAAAGAAACAATACAATCGCCTAAATTAAAAAAGATATATATATTGTCAAGAGAACCTTTTGAAAAGGTTAGTCATAAGACTAATTGCAATTACAGAAAAATTAAAGCTTTAATTATTTGTCGACAAAAATTAGTTATAAACATTTTTATTTTTTCAGTTAAGAGTAGAAATCTCTAATTTTATATCTTTTATATATCGGTGGAACGATATTAGTTATAAAGAAATCTAAATGATTAATAATATGTTTACTACCACGCATGCACTTTTCTCTTGTTCACATACTACACGGCGCTATTTACTTTTCGGCTCAGAACAGAAACCTTGCTCCCACTTCCAGCTAAATTGTCTACGTAGATGCCATAGTTAAGAAAGGCGTATCTCTTTGACGACAGTTTCACTGTCTAGTCTCATGTTGCTTGTTCACTAGTCCCTAGATATAAAAGAGGTGAACTACCGTCAGTCAAGCATTCGACCAGCCTATCATATAATTTCTACGAGTACAGTATACGTGTAGTCTATTTTTGTACAGTGATAATAGCCACATCCAAGTTACAGCTTACGTGTACGGGCGTACGAATAAATATTATTCTTATAAAGATCTTTCTTTCTTTTATCAAACAAATAACAAGAGAATTCTTGTCCTCATGAAGAATTGTAAAAGTTTCTAAAAATATTGAAAATCTAATGATTTCTATTATTTCTTGTCGCTATCCTTGCATTCCGCTGTAAGGACGCCTTTATATGTAACTGCGTTTCGAGTATCTTGACGCCTTTGAACATCCTTAGTGAAAATGGTCATGATTAGTCCAGCCAACAATGCTATGCAACAACCAATATGGACTGCCATGTCCCCATAAGTGTCCATGAGTTTTCCGAAAATCAAAACAAGTAAGACGCCGTAAATATTATTGGCAACGTTCAAGATTCCCGTAGAGATTCCTTCAGCTTCCGGATACGTATACTCCGCACACAAATCGTATCCAAGCGCCAGATATCCAGACATGAAGAATCTATAAGGAGACGCAAAAGAAAAAATAAAAGGAGGAAAACCAAATAGCTAACGTTCAATACTTAAATGTGAAGAACTATGTACTCCGAAAATACGTTTCTCATTACATACCCAAGAAAGGACGCTGCGACATAAACCATCCATTTAATACCGACCCATAAAGCAACAGCAAAGCATATTTGACCACACAGCGTCAAAAAATATACGATCACTGCAGTTGCTCTGCAAAAACACAAAACACATTTTTAAATTATCAGGAGGAATAACCCTAAAGTTTTTCTCAGTTTCATTTTTTTTTGTTACTGATATTCACTTGAATTTATGTGTCTTGTCCAATATGACACCAAACGTGACAGCACCAAACATTCCCGTTACTATTATCGACAAACCAATCCAGCCAGCATCCCTTTCTGCATTCTAAAAGCGAAAAAAGTAGATGAAAATGATGTTGTATTTTTAAAAAAAGTGGATAAACGAACAATTTCATACAAAAGCTTAAAATGATTTTTCTGAAAAAAAAACGTACCTTCACTCCATTTCATTATTGTTGTCTTAGTCTCATAATTTAAGCTACTGAGTATTACATACACAATAGATACCAGATTCTACACAAAATCAGAATGCAAACTCAAAATGGCACTCGTACCTTGAAATGCAGGAGAATAATTTGATTGAGGAGCGTCGCAATCGCATTGAGAACACCGATATTCATTCCATACGAATTGCACAGAATGAGAAAACACTTGTTCCTGAAGAGTCTCTTCATCGGCTCAACGAATCCCTCCTTGTTCTCGGATCGGGTGGCCTTTTGAAGCGCGCGTGTCTGACTCGGTGAGAGCTTCGGCTCCTCCTGAAAGACTATCATGTTTTTCTACCGTTAAAAAGAGTTCTATTCACTGTACAGGGTAGTTGGCTGGTAGGGCGGATAGTTATTCAGTAACTATTCTGTGGCATTCGTGCATCCGCGAAATGCATTCGGAAGTCCCGATGCATTCGGTTGCAATGAAACCTGAATTCTCGCACCGATGCACCGACGGTGCAACTCGTGAAATTGGCAAAATTATTGGTGCAGTAACATTCATAATATAAGATAAGGCTTCTTTATATAAATCTCAATTTATTAGAAACAATTTAACAGTTATTTTTATAATGTTTGGTCGTCACAATCGACAAAGATGAAACTTTTGGAAGTATTTGACATACTATATAGATTGCTATTTAGATTTATGTATGAGGGTCGCGATTGCTCGAATTTGACTTTCGAAGTCTTTGTATATTTATATTTATAAAGGCTATATGCGTTCCTATGTGTATATAAAATGAGGTAAAAAGTATAGAATAAAACTCACATATTATAACCAATATGGTAGCGATGGTCGATATTATAGCCACTCCCCAAAATAATTTTGAAAGGTCAACGCCGATATCATCCAAATTCTCATGTTTTCTAACCACTATAGGCGTCAGTACAAAACCAAGAGCGATTCCAAGTTGAGAGCCAAATATACCTAAAGACGTGGCCGTGGACACTTCATTAGCACCGAACCAATGCGCAGCCAGTCTACCAGGCATAGGAAGTACTACAACCTGAATAGCAAAATAAAGAAATAACAATTTCAAATATCAAAAAAATCCAAGTATTTTCATCTGTAGTAGATAGTAGCTGAAAATATACGAATGAAAATATGAAATGGATCAAAATACCTGTGTCGTAGCTACAAACGATTGACCGATGAATGTTAACCAAAATCTGTCACGTTCAACCGAGAAGACTTTTATCCATGCACCAATGCAATTGACGCAACATCCCAATATGGCAGTCCATCTTAATCCTGCACGATCGGTCAAATGCGACGCTAGGAATACTAATGGTACATAGTAGAGCATAAAGGTCATTGATGTCCAGTCTACTGAATTAGCCGATACTCCATAATACCTATGCAAGGAATACATTAGCATTAATTTTTAATACGTCAGATTGCAATTCTGCATCCATCGCAGAGAACTTGTTAATCGATTATTCAAAGATCATTGATTCAATTGCCTCCGTGTTTTTAATTAATTCAAATGGGTTATTTTACAATTGACAAATGCATTTACTTCTTTTCCGTAGTTGGAAACTGGTCGACACTTTTCCTCTTGTTTAGCTCTACTATACCAGCCAACATTTCTTCAAATCATATAATTATCTTTCACTACGAATGTAGTCCTTGATCAATCGATTCGTCATGGGAATTTTTGAGAAAATCCTCAATCATTAATATTAATTTTATCAAGGAATTTCAATTTCATGATTATTTATTGTTATTATTATTGATCAATTATTTGATTAATTTTTTTTTTATAACTTACGTCATTATAATATTAGTAACAATGGAGTATTGTATCCATTGAAAGGCTGTACAAGCCGCATAGAAGATGAAGAGCACTAACATTACCCATCTTCTGGGATACGTTTTGATTTCCGGTATATTTCCAGTTCCCTTATTTTCCTTGTTGATGATTTTTGTCAAATTTTTCTCTACGAGAGAATCATTAGCTGATTCCTGGTATGTCATTTTCTTTGTCTCAAATTATTCTTTGGTCTTTTAAACAAATACCAATTTTTTATCTTAATTTTATATATTTTTGATACTATCCTATTCTTTGGAAAAGCGTGCCAGCTCACTTTATAGCCATTGTCAATCCCTCAAAAAGGCAATAGTCTTCTTGAACTTTGTCACGACAGATACAAATTGAATTAACGGTACTTTTCCAATCTGATGTCTAACTTTACTGGAATCATAAGCGAATACCATCAACCACTTATCTATACTCCGTTATCAGTTTACTTCGTTTCCCAAGAAACCTGTCGTATTTGCAATAGGATTCGACTAATCTCATGCGGAATGACTACCTCATAAAATTACACGGCCTTTATGGCGTTTAAGTGGCTTCACTGTTTCAATACAGAAAAATGACACTTTATTTTTACAGGATAGCTTCATTTTACAATGACACAACCTCTTTCCATAGCTATTTATGTAATTTGCAAATACGATCTTCTTTCCATGACTCCAAATACGATGTACAAATTTCTTGCAAAAATTCGTTGTTCCGGGATTTCTCAATGACGTATGCAACTCCATGAGAAAGTGTTTTTCGATTGGACAACAATCTTTAAAAAAAATGTTAAATATATAACAAATGCAAAAACTGTTTGCACGCGTGGATCTTTTTTTTTAATTTTTAAACAATGGACAATTTGTGTCAGCGATATACGGTCTATGACGAATCCTGATATACTGGCATGCGACACAGCATGTCAAAATGAGTATTGCAGACTACCAACTGATTGGATAAAAAAAAAGTTAACAAGCCAATTGGGGTACTCCCACATTATACATAAAGTAGTATCTAAAAGGTAATTTGATCCTGCATATGTGGATGCGTACATACATACGATTGTGTACTTAGCCAGAAGTGTCAAGAGGTTAAGTATGATTGCAGAAAATAGCCGGACACCTAATAATAGTAATTTTACTTACAGGGGGACCATCAGGCCTGTCGATTACGGATTTTTATGGCTCTGAATTATGCTGTAGAGAGACACGACCATTGTATGCACATAAAGCTACTTTTTTTCACAAAATTATTTTACATTATCATATTATATTACAAGTTAAATAATGTTACTTATCAAACAATGATACATATGTTGTATATGTTTTACTTCACGTAAAGTGCAATCTAGAATGAGAGCCATTACAATCGAATTTATTATACAAAACATTAACGCCTCACATTAATCGTTCTCGCTGCCATAATTCTTTGTAGCAAAGTAGAACTCTGAGTGGTATACTTATCATAAAAACATGCAAAGCATAACATTGAAATGCACCAAGTGCCTTGTATAAAAGTCATATCCTTGCATGCACACGTTTTTGTAAGAGGTGTTACTGGAAAACTAAATTCATTATTATTTCAAAATATAAATCTTTCATCGATCAATTTTTAGGGAAACCAGGCGTATTTAGTCATAGGAATCAGAGTGGGGGCGCTGTACCGATGTAAAATCAATAAATGAATTCTGACCGCGTATTCTTGAGAAGCAATTTCTTGTTGGATGTTCAACAATATAACTATTCGTTTTATTAATATGAAAGAAATAAATAAATTTTCAAAATTCTCTTAACAATATAAGCAAACTATTTAATTTTTTCTATTCTCAAACCAAATCATGTATGCATTATCGGGCGAGTGATGATATGAACTGAAATCACGATCTAGTTACATCTAATTGTACATTAACTTAAATGAATTAATAATATGAGTCCAGCATTTTAACAATCACATATATAAAAGTTTCATTCTACGATTTAAAATACGCTCTTAAGTTAGTTTCTATAATAATACTTATATACATACCTATTATTGATCTAGCCGATGATTTCGATGGAGATGATTGGTAGTTATGTTTTGCTGAATTGTAGTTGATTCTTTGTTGAATTGGAGTTTATACTTGGTTCCTACGGTGTGGTCTATTCGAATTGTCGCCGTGTCCGATCCCCGTTCCTCAAATGTTTAACGAAATATTTCTAATGTCGATGATGCTATGTATATCAGGGCCCTATCACCCAGAGCGTACTATCTAGTGTATTGTTCGGAGACACATCTTACTCGCTCGCTGGTTATTTCGTGAAAGGGACGACAATTCGTTTGACCGGTATTATTTCGATTTGATTAGGTGGGAATCGAACGACTCCTAATAGGTGTATTCGGAATGGGGCCTATCCACACACATACATATACACATGCACACCAGAAGCACTCACATTAACTGGCGTACTCATACGTTACAACAATGCGGGAGGACTTTCAATTTCTTTTTATCAAAAGTTTCATCTGCCGATAAAAATATACATCGCAGGGTTGACAAAGCCAATACCACTTGGGTGGTATTACTTTTAAAAGGGCTGGATCAGCTGCTTCTTCGCCTTCGAAGATGTCATCGTGTAGAGTGTGATCGACTTGCCCTCCTTGTGGATCAATAATGAAAAAATTAATTTTTTCCACACAAGGAAGAATTAAAGATTTCAAAAATATTTCATTTAGTTGTTTCATGAAGTTCCCTGATTTTGTGCAATGGACAGCGTTCTTCAATTTTTTAGTCCTCATCCACTTTTTTTTAACAATAGTACCAAATTTTTCCGACAATTCCTGCATACATAAAAGCACGGAAGGAATTATCTTTCCTGATGCAGTCAGTGCTTATTGTACTACGTAAAAAAGACTAATTTTTTCAAGTTTTATTTTGTCACTAGAACGCTTTTTGCTCCTTTCTCCGCAGACGATCTATTATATGTTGATTGATACTGATAACTGGTTTAATCAATATTAATTACATAATCGAGGTCAATATTCGACAAAAGTAATCTCGTCTGTGTGCGTAATTTTCCAGCAGCTGCCAAGATTTCGTCCATCGTTGCAAATCCTTTGCAGCTGACGTATTTTTAATCTGCCGCTGTCTGATCTAGTAATTTTTTTCAATCGTGCAATTCAAGTTGAGCTGGCAGTAGAGTAAAAGTTCTCCGATAAAAAATTAAAAAGTTGCGTTCACTGCCTATCATTGAAATGTGCTTCTTATTACCTAAAAACGGGTAAAATTAATTATTCGTAACATATTGTAGAGATTTAATTCTGTTCTATTTGCTTTTTTAATAAAATTAATATTTCACTTATTATTCCACAAATCGTTAGAAAGTATCATGATCGATGAACTTTCATTTATCAAAATGAGTTTCTCTTCGTTTCACATGCTTTTTCCGTCAATATGAAATCTATTTCTGATTTAAACGAGAGACTCAGTGCTACTGCAGGCTCTTCGAGCTCAATTTGAGATGAACTGCTGTGAGGGCGACCGCTCTTTCTTTGTACCATTAAGGGACACAATCAGCCGGTGCGAATTTTTCTGCCACAAATTCATCACCGTCTTTCGGTACACCCGTGCACTGTGGAGAAAATAATAATATACTTTTTTTCTTGTTTCGTTTTCAAAGGAAAAAAAAAATTCAGAAAATCTAAATTTACCTGTGTATATTATTTTCCTTCATCTTCGAAATCTTCATCTTGTCAAAGCTTACAAGGTCGTGCTGAATAACGGTGTTTTTTGTTTCCCAACATTGCAATTGTTTCGTGGCAAATCACCCCTCTCGTTGCCATAAAAGAGAAAAGTAATATCGCCTGGGGATGTCTTTTTATGTAGGACCACGTGTTTCTTCGATTTTCACACAAGCACTTCACAAATCAAACGTCGCAGACGGCTGCTATCGACTAACTGACTAACCGAAAATTAAGTCTTGCTGGTTTGGGTTCCTTCATTCAACGACAAAGGGATCGTAAAGAAGATACATAAAGGGAGCATAAAGATCAAGGAGAAAGTGAGGAAACCCATTGCCAGATAGTAAACGATCGTCGAATAATTCTAATTTTCACTTCGACACTTCGATAGCTGTCAAAGGACCGCTTTTGAAATAAACATTATAGTCTTTTCCAGTTGATTGTAATTAATACAGAATTTAGCATAGTCGTGCAGTAAGTTCAAGAAAAATAAAAACCTGAAATTTAACAATTTTGATTAAAGTCTCAAAAGCGGTCATTTGACCGCTCTGGTAGGTTTAGTGTTAAAGTCTAATGAAAATGGAAAGTTAGCCGCCGCGCTTTTTGTCCAGTTCAGGGTAAACTTGGTAAAGCTAAAATGTCCAACGTTATTATGATTATTGAAAGAAACAGCAGACAAAGTACCCAAGCATTGGGGATACTCACAATATTGGCGACACTAATAGTGTTAGTCAGTGACCTCAAGTAAGGTAGCAGTGATAGCATCGGTATAGTGATGCTGCTTGGTTTAGGTAGCCTGTAGGCACAGTCTATAGTGGAATTTTGTGACGTTAACCGAGTAATTTAATCCAGGCCAAAGTTGGCTCTGCTTGATCAAGTCTCCAGGGATATGAAGTCTTCGTTTTAGGTTCTAGGTTATGAATCGCGCCTTGAGTGATTTCTACCCTGTTCGACTCAGACCTAGGTTATACATCCCCTCACAATCCATATAAAGCTAACAGGATGTGAAGGTTTCGTGAACCAATTCAATTTCTCACTGGAACTTCATAAAGGCCTGTTCTCCGCCGAGAACGGTACTTTAGTGAGATCAAAAGTGTTGCGGAATTTTTGTCAAATTATTTTGGTAGGGCTACTTGGGATAAGTAGATGAATGGATCAAAATAAAAACTATATTATATTTATAAAATAGTTTTAGTACAAAAAATTTTTTTAAACGGTGACGATGGATGTGCCATGTAGTAATGTAATTTATAAGTCGAAATAAGTACCTTTTTCCCTGTTTTCGGAACTGCAACAGTTTTATAGTGTGCCTATACGCATGTTATAATTTTTCTCCTCTGCAAATTCGTGCGTTTAAAGAAAAATAAAGGTAACTTTTTTCAAACTGATTGCATTCTTCCCTTGAACATTAATCTTCAATATTCGAATATAAAATTCAGTTATTCATTGCAATAGATTTTCCTAAATATAAGTCAACTTTCAGATAACGTCAAGAGATAAGTTGACGGAGGTAAAATGACGAATACATGAATTTGCCTCTCAAAGTAAGTTTAGATTTAAAGTACAAGCTTTTCTTTAACTCTTGTGATGTATTGTCATATATTGCAATGTTGGTTAGATGTTGATTCACCCTACTTTGTAGTTTCTTATTATTTCATTTTGCATGTCTAATTTATCTTGGGTTTTATATTTATTTCTAATTAGGTGCCGAGAAATTATAATTAAAAAAAAAACCTTGTAAGAATCGGCTATAAATGTGGTATTAGAAAAGGGCATGACTTGCAATTATTGTGCTGCTGTAACTTTTAATATTCCAAAACAAAATTTTACGTCGTTACATAAGAAAAAGTCAAAATTTTCCCAACCATGGTGGGCAGTTCCTATCAATTTTTGATGCTGAACAAAAGGGACAATTATTACACAATTGAATAAGATTAACTCATGATCGTTTGGTCTTACGACGATTTAATGTCGTAAATTAGTATACGAATTTACTGTTATGAACAACATTGCCCATTGTTTCAACAATGATACCAAGATTGCTGAAATTGATTGGTTTGAGACATTCAAGATGGAATATCGCATGAGCTTTCGTACACTAGAAGCAACATGGATTGGTCATTCTATGGGATTTAATCAGGAAGAATGTGGTTAACTTTTTGATCTCTGGAAGGAAGCAAAAATGAAATTCATC